GGAGTCAGTGTGCTAAAATTTCTTCATTTTCCTTGTTTAGAATCAGAGGTGCTAGTTTCAAATCCTTTTTAGTCTGAAATCTGTATGCTAGATATTGAATAAGGTGGTTTTATTGTTTTTGTCACTTTGAATAATATTTCTATTCGTGTTAAAAACAAAATCAACTCTCTGTATAAATATATCAGGTGACCGTTAAGGCCCATGGGCCTCTTGTTTATGTTCATATTCCTTGAAAGGTTTTAAAACGTATTATGATGTTTCGACAAATTTAAAAATTGTAACTATTCTTTTCTTTTTCTTTTAATTTTTAACACTCATCATGGTAGTCTAGTGGTAAGACGCCGGGCTCTTGACCGAAGGGTTGCGGGTTCGAGCCACAGCACGGCACTGCGTTGTATCTTTTGAGAAAGATACGTTACCCCGCTTATTACAGCCTACTCAGCTGTAAATGATTATGGTTGGCCAGTGCTAGAATGTTAGCTGTGAGCGCCGAAATGACAGCACCGCCTGTATGCTCCCCAGGGAGGTGTTGAGAAAGATATTGGCTGGTTGAAAAGGCCCTATAATCACGGATGATAATTTGTGAACCGCTATGAGAAGACCTACGAACTAGATAAAGCGGTACATAAGAACTTCGAATTATTATTATTACTATCATTATCGTCATTGTCTTACATTATCCTCATCATCATCTGACATTACCTTTACAGCATCATCATCGTCATCACCATCATCTGACATCATCTTCTGACATCATAAACATCATCACCAGCCATCATTATCATATGTCATCATCGTCACCATCATCATTTTACACTAACATATTTACTCTTAAAATATGTAGTCATCATCATCATCATCATCATCATCATCATCATCATCATCATCATCTTTCATTATCATATGACATCAACATCATCTGACATCATCACCATCATCATTATCACTATCATAATCATATCCAACAGCATCTGACATCATCATCATCATCTGACATCATGATGATGGTCATTTTTATAAACTTATATTTAAACTCTTAAACGTAGGTTTCAACTTGTAAGTGCAAGCATATATATATATGAATATATTGTATAACAAGACATTTAAAACAATACTAATGCTATGTACATACATAAATACGTACGATACATGTATAAACTTATGACATCAAACACACAAGAACAAAACCGAACAAATATACTACAAAACACAAAACATTACAGGGGATGTGAGAGCAATCATATGTCATACGTTATTGTATGTGAAGTCTGACAAATTAAAATGTATTGAGAAATTTGATGATTATTTTTATAATGAGGAGAAAGTACAATAGATGTATATGTGTAGAACAAATATGTGATACTTAGTCATATTATAACTGTACCCAGTTATCTATTTAATGGTTTAGCTCATCCTTATTTATAAATTTATTTTGTTTATAAATAAGGCTTTTAAATCAAATCTTAAATTGTTTGAAGACTCTTTAGATTAAGGTCTATTTCTAGGCATTTAGTTATATACATGTATTGTTTTCTAATTAGTATTATGGTGTTTTCTATATTTAACATTGTATGTTTATCTTTATGTTTGCCATACATTAATTCTTGTTTATCTAATCTTAGTGTAAGGTTTTTAGTTATAATATTTGTTTTCATCTCTCCAATTAGCCTACATTTATACTGTTTTCGCATTCCCATAGCAGAAAGTATAAAGGTTAATGTGTGATTTGCCAATTTTGAATACAGAGTGTGTTTGTATTGAGGATTGTGTGGTATATTCTGTAGTGTAGCTACTGTCATTTGGAGCTATTGGTGGGCATTCATATATTTTTTCCCATGTTTCATCATCTATAATATCATTTAAATTCCATTTCTTTTGAGCAGTAGGTTTAACATTATTTTTAACTAATACTGAATATATGTGTTTTGCTCCTTTACTATTTCTAAGTATTAACTTAAGATTGATAGGTATACTTGGAAAAAATAACACCTTTTTTCTGAAATAAATACTGTACAGCATTCAAAATGGCCTTGGTACATTGTATATCAAAACATAAGTATCAATGTTATATTTTGTTTGAAATTCTTCAAACTGGTACAGTGATCCGTCATGTTTAATAATGTGTTATAAAAAATGCACTCCCTTTTTAAACCATGAGTTTTTAAAAGTAAATTTTCTGTCAATTTATTTTCACTATTGAACCACAGAGGGTTTGCCCGTATATAGTATACAGGATTTAATACTATCAGTCAGACAAAGAATATGCATTTTGATCTTTCTACTTACTGTCAAAGCACCAAAGGACATGTGGTTATTGTTTCAGGTACCAAGCGTTAATTTGATCTATTAGGGGAATATTTACGCGTTGCAACTGATTCAATATTCATGAACTTGCTCCGAATATCACGATTTTCCTGAACGATCGCGAATGCTATGAGACGAAAGACCACGCGTATGGCCACTGGTATGATCGCCCTGATGATCTCATTGAGAAATGTGTTGTTTTTCGTTGTGTCTACCAAAGTTTTCCATTGGAGGATAGGACATTACTTATACTTGACCTAGATACACGTTGCGGACGTCATCGATTACGTAGAAGACGCTAACGCGATCTTATTTTACTGAGTCAGTTTTAAGGTCACTGTATAAGGTTTTCCCTTTATTTATATTTTACAAAATTGTCACATTGCCAACTTTGCCTTTGTCGAAATTTGTTGATCTACAGTCCAAAAACTTTCAGCTCGAAAAGAAATGCTTCTTTGCTACTCACACTGAAAACGATTCTCAATATAAAACCTGGCTCGCTGAAACCCGAATTTCTTATCCTTGTTTTCCCTGTTTCCTTAAAGTAGTTTTTCCTTACTTTTACCTTTTAAAATATTTCAATGAAATGCATTAGCTTGTACTCAGTTATGGAATATTCTTAATCAAATATGAATAAAATATTATTTTTGCTATTTTTCCACCTTGTACATAAATATCATTTGAAACTATTTATTTAAGCATTGAACTGCTTTTGTATGGTAATTATGATCTATTTGAATGACACAGCTTTGCAAGCAAACAACATAATGCGCATTATGAGTTGTTTGCTTGCAAAGCTGTGTCATTCAAATAGATCATAAATACCATACAAAAACAGTTCAATACTTATATTTACGTTTTCTCTGCCTCTTATGTTCTTTTTTAACTTATAATTTATATTTAAAATTAAAAATGCTCGCCTTATCGACAGTCCACACAATTTCGTTCAATAGTTTGAACAGCGTATTGTCGCGTGCTGATTGGCAAACAAAGTAGTACTTTGAAATTTTAACAAACACTTCAATTTTATTCCACAATTCAGTATCAATACAATTGCGTATGATATGTCTATAGGGTGATTTAAGTTTATCAATAGAACTCTGAGCTGAAAGTTAGATTTGAAATTGTTTCGAATTTTCTCCGGAACAAATTTCGCGCATGGGCAAATACAGTGAACACCGTAAATCCGACCTTGCCCTCCACGAGGGAGTTAATTTTATTTTTTATTTTGCACATAAATTTACAATGACATTGTCAAATCTCACAATGCCCAGGGATATTTTAGCAGCCGTCATGTTTATTTATATTGGATATTGTAGTTCCGGTCAGTGTTGTATTAATACGCTAAGAATTTTGTCCCATCAACGACACAGCTTTCAAAGAGGCTATATAGTGACAATGCCATGCAAATGTAAATATAATGCAATAAGTATACCTTAAATTCATTTGTACCCATTTCTTTCAAACTAGACCACGAATATATCCATAAAAGCGGTATGATAAGAAACTTTTTTAAATATTTATATAGGTATTCGAATGTATGACTATCTCATTCAGAACGAAAAAATGTATTCATTTCCGTTTAATGTCACGCCTACAATATAAATTGAAATGGTAATACGACAGAGACCATTGTATTACTGACATGCTGTAATACTGACACACTCATATCATTCAGTGATTTACTGGTTAGTTATCCCCCTAATACACAGAAATAGCATGCAGAGACTTGTACAAGTCTACCTTTAGCATTAAATGTTTGTATTGATGATTGATTAATTTGCCGGAGAAACTACACAGATATTTGATATTAATGCAAGTGGCAGATCTACTTATACTTATAGGAATAATTAAGAATAAATTGATTATCAATTTATAAAGATATATCCGAATTCAGTCTCTCCGTTATGCGGACTCGTTGTATTAGATACCCGTTGGGTGTTCTGATAAGACTGAAACAGTCGTAACATGCCAGTATATGGAGGGTGTATCATGCCATTCAGGGAATCTTTGCTTATCAAAGACATCGTAGTTTGGGTAAGTCATGTTCCATGTATACATTGTAATATTAATAAGGTACTCTACTGGTATTGATAAGGTTTTTAACATAGTGTGGTAGGAATGATGGCCGCGAGTCACTTTATATTTTATAAACAGTCTTGTGAATTCGATATTGTTCATAAAATGACTGTAATAAGATAGGCCTATTATTTCAAGAACGTATTTTTATTTGATCTTCCCCAGCTTCAATGCAAATTTAGAACAAACAAATAATATAATACAATGTATACTTCACATATGATTTCTGAAGTGTGCCTATCGAAAGCGAAAGTACTAACCCATGGAAATTCCATGAATCAATGTGACAAAATGAACACTGCACAACGATTCACAAACTAAACGGCTTTTGTTCTATGACCTGGAAGAGAAAGCTACATAAACGTTATAGGAAATAATTAACCTAAACTTGATGAAAGCATTTGTATTGAAATTTGATCAAATAAGTGCTAGATTAATCATTATTGCCTTCGTGAATCTGCACCATTCTACACCATTGAATCCAAAAAAGAAAATTCAAGTATATATGAAATGGATTATAAAGTTATAAGCTAAAAGGTTTCATTTCATTAACAAGTTTGCTCTTTGGACGGAACAGAAGTTAGTGAGAAACAACTTTTTCGTAGTAGGAAAGACAACCCTTAGATAATGCTTGAAATGTTAAAATATTGGTGCATTGATAAAAGATTAATGAAATACAGATGATTTGTTTCCATCTTTATAAACAAGTTTTAAAATAAATAATCTACAAAAATATGTAGAATGTTTCTTGATATAAATCACACATCAATAATAGTAATATATTTATCATAATCTAATAAGAAGCTATAATGTTTAGTGTTATATTTATTATGTAGTTTATTTCGCGTTGTGTAAATACACTTTGTAAATTAATATAATTTTAATAATAACAATACAATTAATCCTATATTTATTTCACGTATTTCAATGCACAGTAATTTGATTTGCACCTTAATCAGTATATGTTTCCTCGCTTCCGACTCATTGGCTATAAACATGCTAGAAGTTGGTAAACATTTTTGGTTACCCACTAGTTGGTAACACGCTGGACGTGATTTCATTGGACAATCATCTCTAAATATGACGTCAACTGACACTAATTTGCGACGTCATCATCCATTGTGACGTCATAGTTCATAACAAATGTCTCCCTGTTCGGAAACAGGAACGATGTATTCCTAAGAGAAACATGTTTTTTTTCTAGATATATAATTTGAAGGTTGTGGGAGGCAAAGGTGCCTAAAATCCAAGATGGTCGATTATTGTGTATATCTAACTTTCGAGTCTTTGTTAATGTTCAAGTCATATACATTTATAAATTCCAAACTATTATAAACAGATGTTTGAAAACAAGGGTAAATCAAGGATTGAAACTAACGCTGTTGGTTCTTCGGGTAAATAATTACAATCAACTGGGTTTTATATTATCAGTCAGACGAAGAATATGTATTTTAATCTTTCTACTTACTGTAAAAGCAACAAAGGACTACTTTAATGTCACGCCTACAATAGAAATTGAAACAGTAGTACGGCAGACACCATTGTATTACTGACATACGGTAATACTGACACACTGTAATCGTACAGTGGTTTGCTGTTTAGCTATCCCCCTAATACACAACAATAGCATTCAGGGACTTGTACAAGTCTACCTTAAGCATTAATTGTTTGTATTGATGATTGATTAATTTGCCGGAAAAACTACGCAGATATTTGATATAAATACAAGTGCCAAATCTTCTTATATTTGTATAAATAATTAAGAAAAGATTGATTATTAATTTATTGATTTATTAAGATATATCCGAATTCCGTCTCTCCGTTGTACGGACTCGTTGTATTAGATACCCGTTGGGGGTTCCGCTAAGACTGAAACTTGTCGTAACATGCCAGTACATGGAGGGTGTAACATGCCCCTCAGGGAATCTTAGCTTATCAAAGACATCGTAGTTTGGGTAAGTCATATTCCATGTATA